TTTTTTTAATATTACATTGAATCTAAATAAAAACCCATATTGAACTGATATTATTGGTGCGCCACTCTCAACACCTCCAGGGACTCCTTAGTAAACCATCGACAGATTGCTGACTTCAAAAAGTACAGACTTTATGGACAGCTGGAAGGTGCACAGCCTATGGTTGACCCTAGAGGTGTTCATATACCAAGTACCATACTCGGTACAGGTACACATACAAGTACAGATACTTTTCCAGCTCCAAGACTAGACTATGCAAAAGTTAGGACGCAGCTGTCATTTGTAAGGAGCACACGGAGCTCCTCCTGGGATTTGTACATCCCCATTTTAATGCATTATTTTTTGAAAATAAATATAAATAAAGGGATGCGCCAATACCATTTTTCCAAATACAAGTACTGATACATTTTTGTTTATTGTCATGTGACAGTTTTTCTAAAACAAGACAGACTAATTATTTCAGGACAGTGGTGGAGCGCCAGAGCTATGTCCCAGCTGCAACCGCTGCAACCAATGTAGTTCTCGTGAAAATGCCAAGTATGGGCACTGGTATCTGAACTGGTATCTGGACATCCCTAGTTCATACCGTTTAAATCAGGGCTAGGCAACCTCGGCATTCCAGCTGAGTTGGAATAAATCCCATAATGCCTCTGTCTTTGGGAGTCATGCCTGTGGCTGTCAGAGTCTTGCAATACCTCATGGGACTTGTAGTTCCGCAACAGCTGGCGTGCCAAGGTTGCCTACCCCTGGTTAAAAACCAATGACAAAAATGGCCAGCACACAAACAGTTAGGATCTCAGATGTTTACTAAGGTCAAAAAGCAAATGCAGTGCACAAAGGAAAAACAAACCATCAACCTTTCAGAGGCACCCACCTTACCAAACATCTAAGATCTTAACTGTCTGTGTGCTGTCATTGTATATTGTAACATGTCAGGGATGTATTCAGAATTTAATCACGCAGAAAGTTACAAAAGATTCACTTTAACATACTTTAGAATCCACTCTCATATACAATGTCACTAAAGCAAATATCACTCTGGATTTCTGGTTGGTAACTAATTAAACTACCAAATACATTTGGCGTATGGGAGGAGCCTCGTATTGGCATGGGGGGAGAAAATGCAAAACTTCATGCAGACATGAAATCCCTGTGTTGTAAGCCAAGTGTGCTTAGAGCTCCTCTTCGCCTGGTTTACATTGATTTCAGTTCCTAATGAAGGAAGCATGGCATCATGTCAAATATATTATTTGCACTTGGCAAGCCACGACACGCACCGCAGTGACATGAACTTGTTTACTAGAGATCTGAAATATTCCTTCTTGTCGGGTTACTTCATTCAACTGTCAGATGAAAAGGGAAATCTAAAGAGGAACTCCAGCTATTAACAAAATTTACCTTTGCAGTCGGGCCACCCCCGCACAGCAAGGGTTAACTGCTCGTTTTGTTCTAGGGGCCAAAATGAAGCAGAAATGCTCACCTGATCCTTGGTACCAGGTCAGTGCTCACCTCTCTCCCCTCCTCAGCATCCTTATGTACAATGCAGGTCAATAGACTGTATTAGACTTGATAAAGTCAGCGGTCTTTAGACCACCGGAGCCCGAGGGAGAAGAAGCTGCAAGGAATGGTCTATCAGCCCGGGTGGGATTGAGGATCAGGTGAGTATATCTTCTTTAATCCAGCCCCCTTGACAAAACGAGCAATTAACCCTTTCATTGCAGGCGGTAGCCCCACTGGAAGGGTTCATTTTCTTAATTCCTGGAGTACCTCTTTAAAGTGACATTAAGGCCAACCCTCCCCCCCACAGTGCTAATGTAAGGACTTACCTAAAATGATGCCTCTTAATCTTCTTATTTCCAGGAGTTTTTAGCTGCCCCTCCAGCGCTGGTGCGTGTCTCCGATCCAGCACTGACTCCTCTGTCCTCCTCTTTGCTCATGTCCCACGGTGTCTGTGCGGGTGCACGCTGCTCCATAGACTTACTTTGTGTCTCTCCTCGTCTCCCGGCCGAACAGCTTTGCAGCTGCCCGATAATTTTTGAGATGTTCGGACGGAAGCGCGCGGCGGAGACACAGGTAAGTATTAACCCTTTGAAAACGTTTTTTTAATCGTTTTGCATATATCTACTGCCTGCTAGCAGTAGATATATGCAAAAACAAATGAGGGTTTAATAACCCTTTAAGCTCTAATTATGCAAAAATTCCATGCTACACAAAACACAAACCTCATAAAAATATCATTATACAGATAATGGAAATAAAGTTATTGCACCTGTTAATTAACATAATCCCGGCCAGGACACTCTGCATGAAGTTTGCATGTTCGCCTTGTGCTTGCATGAGATTCCTCCAGGTACTCCCGTTTCCTCCCACACTCCAAAGACATGCTGGTAGGGTAATTGGGCTCCAGTCTAACTTGGCCCAGTATGTGTGCTCGTGTAGGTATGTGCGATGGGGACCTTAGATTGTAAGCAGAGATTGAGCATTGTGCATGAGTAATATGTAAAGTACTGCGTAAATTGATGGTGTGATATAAATACCTGTAATGAATATTTATAATAATCACCCCAAATGATTAATACCAATAAAGTGCAGAAATACATCTCTATTAGCCTGCAATTAGAGTGCAGTAGGCAAATTCGGCATTTCAGCTGCTGTGGAACTACAAGTCCTATGAGGCATTGAAAGATTTTAGAAGTAACAGGCAGTTACTACCAGGGACGGATTTCCCACAAGGCCAACCAAGGCCCGGCTTTGGGGCAGCAGGGAGTAGAGGGGCAGCAGGGATGTGGAATTCCTATCTCCCGATGCCCATGACATGCAGTTCCGGGCACCGGGCAGGTAGTTGTTTTCTACATTTAGCCCTGCTATTGGCAAGCAGAACTAAATGTACAGCGTGGAAGCCCCTGCTTGTTTTGTACAAGTGATCCCTGGCGATGTCGCTGAGATCACATGTATGCAGCCTGCAGGTGGTCTGCCATTCTCCATGGGGGGGTTGGCGGTTAGGGGGGCGCATTGAGGAACCTAGCCTTGGGGCAGCAGTGAGAGTAAATCCGGCCCTGGTTTCTACCTGTTACTATCCATGTGTTCGCCCAACAGACTCCTAGCAGACACTTCTAGATACCTGGGTCCAAGCTGATTTACTTATCATATCAAGTAAGTTTATCAACATGTGAAAACTACGATGTTTGATTTATAATCTCGTCAAATATTTGCCTGGTATATATATTTACATAGTGCCATTGATGCTCCTGATAAAGCGGAACGTATATCCGTGAAACGCGTTGAGTGAATCCCATCCAACTATCTTTATCTCAATGGAATGTAAAGCATACTGTCGGGTCCCGGTCCAAGTGACACGTCCATGTCGGGTTCCGTCCCACAGGACGTGCCGTGTCCAGATCCGAGCCTCTGTGCGGGGACGCACACGGAGGGGGCATTCCGTCGGCACCTCTAGGCCGCACAGGCGCAGACGCCCTGTGACCCGGCAGGATCCGCCCTGCACCGAGTGACGTCATCACGCCGGCACACGCGCAGTGCGCCGCCCTCAGCCTATATAAAGCCCCACAGGACTTGGATTCAGTGGCGAGTGATTTTCAGCCAGCACCAGTGGTCGTTATCTTGCTCCTGTCTTTTGATATTGTTACCTGGCT